GGTTTCCCCCTGTGCTACTTTTCTATGATTTTATAATTCAGAAGAAAATGTGGCATGGGGCTAGAGAGTGCTCTGTCTGGGCAGGGCTGGGAATCCCTAGTGAAAGGTTTCTTGGCACTAGTATTTGCACCGTTTCATAGGTACCAAAGGAGCAGTCTGGATGATGTTGAGGGGGTTATATATGCATCTTATAGTGGTAGATGAGTTTAAAGCCATCTCCTCCTTTCTGTTTTATTTGTACCACAGCTCTACATTCATTTTAACCTCATTCACTCACAAAGCCCATTTCTAGTTTTGTCATTTTATCTTTAACTCAATTTCAAGCTGTATTTTATTTCTTGTTCCTCTCCTAATCTGTCCACATTATCCTTGTTTACTTGCTTATTCCATTTCTTCTTCTCCCTTTGTCTCCTATTCATTTTTTTTCACTTTTCCCAACCTAGCAGTTGTTTGTTACATAAGATGTAGAAAAGCGTAAATGGAGTAGTTAATTCCTCCTATTTCTCTCCTTCCTCTCTAGGTTATTTTAACTTTCTCCCTCTCTTTCCTCTAGTACTCTTTGTACTTCCAAAAATGTGCCTAGATGACTCTAGACTAGAGCAGGGGTTGGCAACCTATGGCCCGTGGACTGGATCTGGTCAACAAAGAGTTCCAACCTGGCCCACCAAAGTCCAATCTGGCACAAGGGAATTGGTGTCACAGAGCTGTTCTGTGCTGCTTATCTCCTCTGCAGCACTCCCCTCCACCTGGATCCTATTGCTCCACTGTGTTTATCCTCGCCGCAGGGGGGTTGGGTATCTCACAGTTGGTTGTTTGGAGGGGAGAGGAGGGAAGGGGCAGAGACTTATGATAAGCTGACCTGTGTCAACAAAATGTTGCCCACACCTGGTTTAGAGATTCTTCTGGCAGGAAGGCTTCAACAAATCTCTTTGTGAGGGGCAGGATGCATCGTCTCATTTGTGCCTATCAGCTGTTCAGGGGGAGCAGACTGATGATCTGCTCCAATTTGGACAAATGAGAGGTGACCACAAGAGATGTGCTAGGCATAGCATGCTCAACCCCCAGTCCACAGGTCAGATCTGGCTTAGAGAGCCATGTCGTCTGGCCCATGGGTCTCCCCCTGGGTCCAGAAATTTGGCAGTCAGGGAAAGGTGACAGCAATTGCCGTTCCCCTGTTAACAAGTTTTGGACTCCTGGAGAGACCACAGATAATATGACCCTGCATGCTACATCAGACACATTGGGCCAGGCAGAGGCAGTGTGGGGCCCAATTCTGGTGCACCAGTATGGGCAGAGGCCACAGGTCCCTCCCAGTATGCTAATTTGGGCAGAGGCAGCATGAGACCAGTTAGGCCATGGGCCCAATCCAGTTGTGTGTGTACAGGGAAGACAGTGCAGGGATGAGTGGGGGGGGTGCAGGTCCAATTCTGGTGGGGTGGCAGGGGTCCAATCCTGGCTCCTGAGACCCAATGCAGCCTGCGGATTGGCCCTGTGCCATTCATTCAGCTTGGGGAGCCAAAGATACAGCAGATATATGTTGCTATATATTAGGGCTGTGTGAAGCTTTGGTCCCTGATTTGATTTGGCAGAGATTTGGCCCAATTTGGTGGTCAAATCTCTGAATCGAATCAGAGGACCCTTTAATTTCTCTGAATCAAATCGGAACCCTTCGAACTGATTCAGAGAGATTTGGAAAGATTCAGTGATTTGGGCATAGAGGCAGCTTAAAATGTTTTTTCTAGATACCTCAACATATGAGGTGGCTCATGAATGCTGCGATACTGGGGTGCATGGTGTCCCACAGAAGTGTGGGGGCTCCCCAGTGCGCTCGGCAGCAGACTAGGAACTTCTGGTTCACTTCCAAGTCCTCTGGGGAGTGCACTGGAAGGCCCCCCTACCCCTCCCAGCTTGGTGACTAGTGCCTCCTGGGTCTTGGGGGGGCACCTGGGATCCCCCTGTGGCTGATTGCTGAGCTGGGGAGGTGCGGGCCCCACCCCCCCGCGTGCTCCCCAGCAGACCAGGAAGTGGATCAGAAGTAGTTCCAGTCCACTTCTGGGTTCGCTGCCGAGCACGTGTGCCCCAGCATTGCAGCATTCACAAGCCGTGCTGGTACTTCGAGGTATGTAAAAAAATCTTTTAAAGCTGTGCCTATAACCAAATCGCTGATTCTCCAAATCAGCATCGAATCTTCAGATTTGGATTCGGCTGAATCGAATCAGAGACAGTGATCTGAATCAATGAATCGAATCCCTGTCCCTGATTCGGGCCGAATCCAAATCCGAATCAAATACAGACTGCTTCGTGCACCCCTACTATATATGATGCCCAGCATACATTATGTATATCCCTATAGTAATGTAAAATATGGTAACAATACATAAACATGGGAGATTAGGCAACAGAGTTTGTTTGAGGGCCAACTCATGGTCCCCTTTGAGGATGGAATTATCTTAAATCTTAGTGCCTTCAAGTTACACAGCAAGACCTGTTTAGATGCCTTGAGCACTAATATCAGATAAGACCAAAATATTTTAAAATATTTTATTCTGCAACCAAAAACAAAAGCAACATACCATTCTCAGGCCTGAAATGAGTGAAGATAGATAGAACTGCTTTAAATAATTTGTCATTTTCTTATAGGCACTTGGGCATCGCACTGATAAGCAAAGCCAAGTGGGAGACGGTAGTGAAGAGAAAGAATATCTTGAGAGAAGTAGCACTTGGGAAGAGGTGTCACAGAGAGCTGAGAATGGGAGCATACATTCTAGAAACATGTGGTTAGAATCAAGTAAAAGAAGACAGAAGAAGCTGGCTATCAGGTGGAAGCCATGAAACTAGAAAGAAGCTATTGTCACACTTACAAGACAGGGTTGGGATACAGAAAGGGTCTGTGGAATCAGAAAAAATATATGCCTTAAACTTTGATTATTTTAGTTATAAGATGACATAACCGCTTTGTGGAGAATTGCTGGCTCTGTATAGTAGAACAGATAAGAGAAAGTGTTTGTTCTTTGTAACTCCTCTGCAACTGCTTTGCTCACCGCGGCCTTGAAGATAGCAAAAAAGTATGTACAAATCTGATTTCCAGGTGCAAGAAGGAGGTTTGTGAACTAACCTCGCCTCCCCCATTAGTTCCCATCCTGATTACAGCAAAGAAATAATGAAGTAATATTATAGCCGCTTTTCATGCTAATTTCACTATATGATCACGTGAGTTGTAAGCAACTGTTAACAAGTATATAAGCCTCCTGATTTTGCTCTTGGGGGGGATCCCTTCCAAGTGCTTGGGAACTCCATGTCACTTTGGAATCCCCCCTACAGCTGTAGTTTCTTTTGAATAAAAGCTTCTGCTGACCTGACCCAAAAGTATGCTGCGTGTGTTTCCACGACAGGTCCTAGTACTAGAAAAAGCTCAAAATATCCTACTGCTGCTGTAACTTAGAAGGCATAGTAAGTACCTGTATTTTATTTATTCATAAGCATATACATTGCCACAGAAGCCTCTAAGGCAAGATGTGCCGGATGGTAGAAAAAACAAACTGGAAAGGAATAGCCATCTGACAGAAAGAAGTGTTCTGTACTCCTGGCAGGTGCCTTTACAAAGGAAACAAATCAACGCAAAACATTTTATTGCAAAGCTGTGTGCCTTGTGTAGGAATCTGGATTAGTCTGGGGAATTAAGCCACATATGTGCATAAATTTAAAATGTAAAAATGTTAGATATGTGAGAGGCAAGGATTTTTTTTGGTGAGCGGGTGATATCTTTTATTGAAGCAAGTGCATAGTTGGAATAAAGTAAGGCAAGCTTTCAAATGCAAGATACTGTTCATTAGATCTGAGAAGCTGGATGATGAATAGGCAGCCACAATATTTGCTGGATACAATGGAATATAGGTACCAACTTTGAGATATTGTAGCTTTTTGTAGCAGTATGTTTTAGTGTTTAGAGGTTTGGGAGGCATATAGAAGCAGCCTGGGTTCTGTTCTTGATGACAGAGTTGCTGTGTTTGTGGCCCAGACTTGGTGAGACTCTGCAGAATCCAGATAGATGCCAGGTCTCCATTTGTGTTATTGCACTGGTTTGACTTAGAAGATACAACAGTAGTGGCCACATGATCCATTTCCTATCTAACCACTGAAACTTGGATGGTTAGAACCAAAACCTGACTCAATCAAGAAAAGTCCAGATGTTGGGATTTGATTTTGGTGGTGCTGTTTCACTGAATGTGCAGATATCTTCTGGTGACTATGAGCAACTAAGCTAATTCTCTAGCTAGTGTATTTTCATAAACTGGGACCAAAAAATGGCAAGAGCTGCTTTTGTCCCCAAATCTGTTGAATCAGGATGTGTTGGTATGCAGTGTTTTTTACGTGTATTTGTATTTTACTGGATTAAGAACAGCTCAACTTCTTTTCTACTTTAACAGTGAAATTTGTGAAGTAGGATCCTAGGATGCCAGGTGTGGGTATTTGCAATGCTGCTAGGAGCACTGGATTCTGTTTTAATTGTTTGTTATTGTTTAAGAGGAGTGCCTACATCTGCTCTCTGTTTATGTGGCAAAATTAGAAAGCCTTGTTCCAATTCTTTTCTGGACCTAGAAAAATCCTGGCACTACATCCAAAGTTGTGCAGTATTTTTGCTTCAGGATTTATCAAGGTCTGTGTGTGTGGGGGGTAGGGTTTAGTGCAGTAAAAAGGCTACACTGCTTCACTCAGATGGTATAAATTTGTTTGCTTAGGTTAAAAACCAGCAGGATTCTAGCTTTTATCTAGACTCTTTATTTTTTCAGGAGTGTTAATTTAAAAAAAAGAACTGAGACTACACAAACTATCAGATATGTGCCATTAGTATGCGAAGCAGAAAAACAACTTAATCTGTCAATAAACTCCAGCACTAAATTTGCATGATACTTTTTGTCAACTTGAACTTAGACAACGGACTTTGGCAGGAAGAAGGCTAATTATTTCTGTGTGTGTCAGACAGGGAGTGTCTTGTTAGAAGCAAGGAAATGAAACTAACTTGCTGGCATTTTCAACAGGACTCAGTCTGTACTCTTCTCTGACAAGACTGCACACTCCTGAGACTATGTATGGTGCAGCAGGAAGGGGTGAAGGCAGTAAGCACAGGGCAGCTGCCTTTAATGCCAGCTCCTTCTCTAGGGGTTATCAAGAGTGGGAGAATGACAAGGAAACAGAGGGAGCTGAAGATACCCAGAGCCAGTTAACTTCTGCAGAAGAACCGCGGGGCCAAATGTCATGCAGCCAAAAGCAACAGGAACAATAGTAAGTAGAAGCTAATCTAGTCAAATATATATGTATTTATACGGACACTTTGTAGTGTGTTCCCATGCTCCACATAACCTCTGTGAGGGCATATTACATACTTGTGTTTATATAATCATTGTGGATACTGGACCTAACTGCAAAGCAAAAGAAATTTAAATGCTCATCGTTCATAGCTGGGGCCAGACTTTCAGAAGTGCTTGGTAATCAATATGATTAGTTCATCCAAATTATGACCAGTAAATATAGTCCCAGTAGTAAGAGATGAACTCTTCTAATGAATTTGGTCATATGGCTCAAAGAAGATTGCTGGGCACACACTTATGTGCAGGTCTGTTAGAGATACAGTACATGTCTTTGCTATATGCAGAATCTTAGCACAGTCTGATGTTGTCTGCTTCCAGGAGGATGGTATTACATATGTTGTAATGACATGGATATGCATTTTTAACTATAAAATAGTATTTGAGCTGGAATATCAAAGATAATTCAGTCCATCTTCACTTCCCCTTCCCCATATTCATCATCAGCGAAGATGCCAACCCTCAGATCTAAAAACACCATGCACAGGTTAGGTTTTAATCTAGAAGAAATTTTCCTACCTGGCCTGATGCAAAACAAGATGGCAGAAACTGGAGAACAGCTTGACAGTGATAAATCTAATTCCAAAAATCAGACTTGAACTTTGAGTATAAACCTAACTGGGATCCATATATTAACCATGTCCGATTTTTAACTTTTCTAGCTACTTTTTTTGGATACCCCATATCTAGGTCTAGATAAATAATGGTATCTTATAAGCAGATTATGCTGTGAGTGTGAGCATGCATGCAAATAACACATATTTGCTTAACTGAACAAAAATATTAGCCACTTCTTTGCTTCCAAATTTAATTTGTTTTGTTTCCAAATTGTTCTTAACAGTATTAAACATGTTGTTAACTATCACTGACATCGCAGTTTCTGTTTCCTACGAAGTAAACTAGTTCCACCCACTATGATCTCTTTCAGTTTCCTTTCTTGCCTGACAAAGTTGGCAGGGGAATGGTGGAGAAAACAGGAAAGCTAATTTGAGATGATAAAGTACTAACTGGATGATTCACACTTTAACCCTTAAATGACTGGATACCTAGGGAGCTTCTCATAGTAACAGTGCATAGATGTTTAGCTCTGGATAGTTTCAAATACGTTAACTGCCTAATGCCTTTATTTTTGGGGAAAATAGCAGTCATGTTTCAGATGAAATACCTACTTCATGCTCCTCCCAACGTAACAGATACCCTTTGCCTTGCCTTTCACCATTCTTGCAGCATTTGCCTATGCTGTACTCACTTCTGCACATGTTAGTGTCCCCAAGCTGGCTTTAAACTAGCCAGTTTGAGTATTTGATAGTAGCATACATGACATAGAAGAGCTCAGCATGCATTAAGAAATACACAGGTGACTGTGACCTAAAGGAGCTTTTCTTATAACTAGGAATAATTAGTACTCTCTTCCCCCCCACCCCCCCAAACACATCCCCTCCAGTTCTTTTCCTAAAAATTTCCCTTAATGCCAAGGGAAGGGGAGGCAGATTGAACAGGTTTTCAATCCATTTGTACTGCTGGGATGGCACAAAAAGACTTTGGCAAATGAAGAAACAGACCTAAGAAGTTCACAATAATCTGGAAAATTTTGAGATTTCTGTTCCACTGGGATGCCTTATAACGGGAGTGAATCATTTCTCAAGAACCTTGCCAGCAACAGTGTTCCTACAGATGCATTATCAAAATGAAACTCAAATGAGTGGGCAAAGTCCTTTGAGCATGCCTTTCATAGCCTGAAATGGTAAATCAACAGATGATGAGAGCCTGAAAATACCTACCACTTATTATAAGTAGCTCAAGCTTTTCAGGTTTCTTCATTTCCAGTCTGTAAAATGTCATGGCATTAAATTAACTTGTAAAAGTTGATTCCCAAATTGCATCTATTCAGAACTAACCTAAAACAAAAGTTTATACTGAAAAGAAATCAAAAGAAAGGGAGAAGTGAATGGTTTGCACTGTAGTCAAGTGACTAAGAAAGAAAAGGTTACGATGGCCTCTTCTGTTTGGCAACTTGTCCTTGCCTTTTTAAAATCTGACAAGGTATAATATTGTGTCCAACAAAATCAATTTTTAAAAAATGTCAAACTTGCTATCATAAAATCCAAGGTTAGATTGCTATACAAATGGGAACAAAAGTCCCTTGCCATCTAGAGTGAAAAGAGAAAAGAAACAATGGAACATTTACTTTCAGAGTCCTTATTCTTAAACTGTAGCTGCTAAATATATCACACTTTTTTCTATCATCATCCAGAATAAAAAAATCTATAGTGCTATTATACTTTTCAATCTGTTGCTGATAGAAGTGTGCTTGCAGGAGGACTGCAAACTGATTTTCTATCTGTTTGATCTCAGATTTTAAAGGCCTTGAAAATCAGTGTATTAAATGGAAGGCAAGACGCTCATCACATTGTTTCTTCAGGCTACTGTCTTCTTTACCTGCGGCATGCTATTCAGTGGGATGGAGAATCCTATGAATTACAGGCTAATTATTTAGGGTATAAGTCTATATTCATTTAAATAAGAAAAATCTCTTACCATTACATTTTAAGGATAAAATTCATAGCAGTTAATGTCTAGAGGGTCATTTAACCTATTCCCTGTGACAGTTTCCTCAGGGTTTTATGGAAGGGTAGAAATAAATGTTTTTTCCTCATCACTGTTGTTTGCATAACTAGTACCAAACTGAAGACAGCATGAGTTACCAGATTCATTTCAAGATATGGTAATTCCCCTTCTCTTCATATTTTTAGTTGAGTTATCATTTAGTTAGGGTTATTATATTTCCAGTTCAAAAAAGAGGACACTTGTGGGGGAGAGAGGGGAAAGGGAGAGAGGGGGAGGAGAGGGGGAAGAGGTATATGATTGTGGGGGGGTGGGGGCAGTGATATGCGTGTGCCCTGCCTCTCCCCTTACTCCTAAACCACAGCCCCCCCAGCCCTGCTGCCGCCTCTCACTCCTGTCTCACTGTACCCTGGCCCCCAGACCCTGCTGGTGCCCCTCATTCCCTACTTGCAGCTCCCTTCCCCCCTGTTGCCAGCCCTGTTGCCCATGCAACTCACTCTCTCATGCTCTCTCACTCTCTCTTACCTGCCTGCAGCTGTGGGAACCTGTGCACAGAGCACATGATCCCCCAGCCTCCAATCACCCTCCCCCGCTGCCACCAGTCCCAATCAGCCAAGCCAGAAGTGCCAGGAAAAAGCAGAGGCAGAGCAAAATCCCAGACATGTGCATTTCAAAAACCTGCCCAGATGGAGGACAGAGGACCAAAAAAGAGGACCAAAAATGTTTAATGGAGTAGCAACCAAACTATTAGGAATGGATCTAAGCCAGACTTTCATATCTGAGCCCCAGTATGATTTGGGCCAATCTCCAGTTTTGGTAGCACACCTCTAAGCTTTTGGGGCATCTATACACGTGTTCTGGGGTGGGGAATTTTAATTAGAGTGGCTCTGAGAGCTGCTCCGAGAGCCACTCTTATTAAAGTGCCCACAGCGTCACGTGTATTCAGCATCCCACACTTCAAAATGGCAGCATGGGTACTTGAACTAAATGTGCAGGGGCATGTTGTGGAGCTTTAGTTCAAATGTGCAGGGGCATGTTGTGCACAAACAACAAGCCAGGGCATGTTGAAGGAGCCTTAGTTCAAGTGCCCCCACTACCATTTTGAAGCATGGGGATGCTGAATAGATGTGAGGCAGAGGCTGCTGGAGCACGCTAATTAGCATGCTTCAGCAGGCTCGATTAATTGATTAATCCAGTCTGCTCTGATGTGTTCTAGTTAGCACACATCGGGGCAGACATCCAGCATGTGTATAAGTGCCTTGTGTCTTACTGACCTTTGTAGCAGAAAAGTATAGAGTGAGTATAATGAGAGGGCCACTGCTCCTAGTCTACTTTACCTCTGTCTCTGTAGTTGCTTGCGCCCTGACTTTTTTCCTGAGTAAAAGGCCTCTCCACTCAGAACTGCACCCTGCAGTTCATTCTTAGGCTTCATTCAGGCAAAACTCTCTTTTATTTCTATGGGAGTTAAGGCTAAATTAAGACAGCAACATTTGGTCATAGATGCAGAGGATAAACTAAAAGTATGTCGGTACCATCTCTGGGCAATCCTGAGACTACCAGCAAGAAAAATGCTAAAAAAGTGTTGTGTATTACCTGTTAGAACAGTGGTGGGTGAGCTTAGTACCACTTTCAAGAACATTTCCCAGACGGAAATCTTAGGAGTGTCCATGGGCACACTCCAAAAAGCAACCATACAAAATCTTTTTAGCATGCGTCCCTTACAGAGTAGGAGTGAGTAGGCAGGCCTTAATTTTTGCAGTGGTCTCAGAATCAGTTCAGAGATGGTCAACTTTGAGAGCTCCAAATTTGGAATTGGATCCATACCAATGGACCGCTGCATCCTTATAGAGCTCCTTGAACTTCATTCTAGCTTGGCAAAGACCTTATTGCAGGATTGAGGCCTTGACTTTTGATTGTCTGTTATCCTTGGCAACTGGCTTCATGTCCGCTATGAAATGCAGACAGCTACAGGGGAGTTGTTCACCACAGCACAGGGAAGACATCTGACTTGGCAGCTTTATATGTGAATGGTGCCTAACAATGCATGGTGAAGTAGCCATGCGTAATGCTTTTGTGGTAGGATTGATTTGACCATTCATAAACAGTTCCTCAGACCCAGATTTTAAATTGAACCCTGAATATCTTTCAAAGTGATTTTACAACTGTCCTTGGAAGTTCGTTCCATCGTTTAAGTCAATTAGCCTTAAAATTTTCCTTAGTGCAATACTTCACTAAATTTCACTTGTTGAAGCTTAATCCCATTTTTCCTACTTCTCTCTTCATTGACTAATGAACATAAATGATCCTTTTCCTCTTTATGAAAAAGAACTCTGCAAATTCAGCATTTTTGCC